GGGTGTGTTGCCTATACACATATTCTAGATCAGAAGAGGAAAAAGTTAGACAACAAAGGAGAGAAGTGTATATTTCTTGGGGTGAGCAATCAATCCAAAGCTTATAAGCTTTTTAATCCTCTTACAAAAAAATTGTGGTAAGTAGGGATGTGGTGTTTGATGAAGGGTCATTCTGGATTTGGGATAAGATTGATGATGGAAGATATATTTGATCAGATCCTCAAGTCGACAATGAAGAGGAAAATCTATCCACTGATAATGTGCATATACAACATGAAGAAACAGATCAGAATATTTTTGCTCCTAGTCCAACGACAGTTGATGAGGTTGATGACAGTCGGCCTAGACGAGCAATAAGAAGGCCTGCATGGATGTCTGATTATGAGGTATCTGGGTTACATTCTGAAGATCTTCTTGTTCATCTTGCTTTATTTTCAGATTGTGATCCAGTAAATTTTGAAAGTGCTGTGTTAGAAGATAAATGGCAGAAGGCAATGATGGATGAGATGAGGTCCATTGAAAAAAATAAAACTTGGGAGCTTGTTGATTTGCCAAGTTCAGAAAAGGCTATTGGAGTTAAATGGGTTTATAAAACCAAATTTAAACCCAACGGGGAAGTTGATAAATACAAGGCACGCTTGGTGGTGAAGGGATACAAACAAGAATATAGAGTTGAATATACTGAAGTCTTTGCACCAGTGGCAAGACTTGACACAGTTCGTTTGGTAATAGCCTTGGCAGCTCAAAATTATTGGTCAATTTATCAACTAGATGTTAAATCATCCTTTTTACATGGTGAACTCAAAGAGCATGTATTTGTAAAACAACCTCTTGGTTTCATCAAATCTGGTCAGGAGCATAAAGTTTATAAGTTGAAAAAGTCTCTTTATGGCAAAAATAAGCTCCTAGAGCTTGGTACAACCGCATTGATGCATACTTTATCAAGGAAGGTTTTTTAAGGTGTCCATATGAGCATACTTTATATGTAAAGCATGTTGATGATAAAATGATGGTTATATGCTTGTATGTAGATGATTTGATGTTTACATGAAATGACTTAAGAGCTACTTAATAGCTTTAAGCGATCCATGGAGAAGGAATTTGATATGACAGACTTGGGATTGCTTCATCATTTTCTTGGTATGGAGGTGAGTCAAACAAAGGAAGGTATTTTTATTTGCCAAAAGAAGTATGTTAAAGAAGTATTGGACAAGTTTCAGATGAAAAGTTGTAATCCTATTGCAACACCAATGGAGAAAAATACAAAGCTAGTAAAAAAATCAGGAGGGAAGTCTGTGAACAGTACGCTTTATAAGCAAATAGTGGGAAGCTTAATGTATATTACAGCTTCGAGGCCAGACATAATGCACAGTGTAAGCATTATCAGCAGATATATGGAGGAGCCTGTGCAACAACATCTAGATACTGCTAAAAGAATTTTAAGGTACCTCAAAGGAACAACTGATTATGGTTTATTTTACAGAAAAGGGGATCAAAGCAAGTTAATTGGATCTGTTGATAGTGATTTTGCTGGAGATTTGGATGATAGAAAAAGCACATCAGGTTATGTTTTCATGATGGGTTCTGGTGCAGTAGCTTGGAGTTCCAAAAAACAACCTTTTGTTACTCTTTCTTCCACTGAAGCAGAGTACGTAGCTGCAACATCTAGTGCATGTTAAGCTCTCTGGATGAGAAGAATTCTAGATAAACTCAAATTTGGGCAGAATGATGGAACAATAATATTTTGTGATAATAGCTCAGCAATTAAACTATCTAAAAATCCATTTTTTTCACGGGAGAACCAAACACATTCATGTCAGGTTCCATTTCCTACGAGAGCTAGTTGAAGATGGTGAACTTACACTAGTGCATTGCAAGTCAGAAGACCAAGCAGCAGATCTCTTCACAAAACCTCTCAATGCAGCATCATTTCTCAAGTTAAGGAGCAAGATAGGAGTCCAAGGAAGCTCTTTTCTAAACTGAAACCACTTCAGTTTAAGGGGAGGAAATGTTACGAAAATCAATTTAATAAAATTAACATAATTGTTGTAATAATTCAGATTAATCAGTCAAGGTTGTTAGGAGTATTTGCTATTCTTTTGCATTTAGTTAATCATGCCATATTGTCCATGCATTCCCCTATTTTTGTGTTATGTACTAGCTATAAATAGCCTATGTTCCTTATGAATAAACACTGCATGATTTTCCCTTTGTCTATTGCTTCTTCTTTCAATTTACAGAACCTTTCTCTCCTTCATTATTTCTGGGTTGTTATCTCTACAATTTTAGCTTTTATACCATTTATTCCCATCTCATTCCCAATAATTCTATTTCTCCGTACAAAAAAAAAAAAAGTAATATGAATTTTTATTTTATTATCACATTATTCTTTTCTCACCGAATTACAATTCTTTCCCTCTTAATTTCCTCCTCCCAACCAAACACCATGTGAAAGTCTACCTATAGTCAGACTCATCAACTCAACTATCACCAAGATTTGATCGATCTCCCAACCTACTAATAAATACTTAGGGTCTGTTTGGAAACCCGGAAAATGACTTTCAGAAATCATTTTCGGGTTTCTGGTGTTTGGTTAGGCTGGAAAATGAAAGGTCAATGAAAAATGAGCTCTAGTCAATGGAAAATGAGCTCATTTTTTTGAAAAATGACTTCACCTTTTTTCAGGGGGAAGTCATTTTCCATCCTTTACTTCTCACGCTGAAAATCTGCCTCCTCCTCCGACATTCAGCAACACCTCCTCCTTCAACAATCCCACAACCACACAAGCTTCAACCTAGTAGCCCTCGTTGTCGTTCGTCGTTGCCGTTCACCGTCGTCGCCGTTCGCCGGCCTCCAAAGTCGTCGCACCGAGCCCAGCGCCACCACCTTGCTTCCAGCCACCGTTGTACCCCAGTGAGACCATCGCTGGCCTCTAAAGTCGCAATCGCACCAGACACCAGAGAGCAATCGTAGTCGCCGCTGTCTTCTCTGGCTTCTGGCCGGAAACTAGAGAGCTTTTCTCTGGTTTCCGACGGAAACCAGGAGCTTTTCTCGATTTCCGGCCGGAAACCAAAGAGTAAGTACTGCTCTTTGGTTTTCGGCCGCCGGAAACCAGAGAGTTTTGTACTCTCTAGTTTCCGTCATTTTTGTTGTTTTATTTTTTTTTTAATTTTTAATAAATAATATTATTTGATTGTAAAAATAAATATTATTATTTATAATATTATTGTAAATTTTATATATTTTAAATAAAGTAATTAATATATAAAATGTTTAATTATACAATTCTACATCATTTCCAGAAAATGAGTCAAACACACGAAGACAGTTTTCTGTTGTGCAGCCAAATACGAGAAAGGAAAATGTTTTCCAGAAAATGACTCATTTTTCAGAAGTCATTTTTCTGCTTTCCAAACGGACCCTTAGTCACTCAATTAGTACTCATACATGTATTACTTGACTTAAACTAGAAAGATTTGTAATTTTTCCATTCTAGGTTTCCATGTAAAACATATCAATTTACACTAGATTCACCTTTATTTAATTTCTAATTCCATGGACTATTAGTAAGGAATTGAATCTAAAGAGTTCTCAGGTTGCATGAATTGGATAAAATTATTATGAAATGCAAATGTTTTGTATTAAATTTACAAATTTTAAAGGTTTTTATTATTGGAAATACATAATTAGATATTTTTTTTTTTGGGTAGTGCTCACTCTATTAGAATGTAGAGATACGCTCCCACTAGAGTTCAAACTTGTGACCTCCTAGTTGGAAGAACTATAAAGATACCGTTGAGTTACAAGTTACTTGGCAAGCATAATAACACACATTTTTTGTATAAAAATGTGAGATTAACGTTTTTTTTTTAATTTAATAAATGAGTAAGCCACTCAATTTAATTTTTCATATGGTCACACTTTGATTTTCATTTTCATATGTTCATTCTTGGCAATTTTATTTTTACAACCTATATTATTTCATATAAAGTAATCAAGACAGTTATACTTAAGAGAGTAGATCCTATGTGACGATCGAATTCGTCAGAGAGATTCTTGACAAGAATTGAACTTGTAACTTTCTAGTACGAGAATCTTGTTCCACACTTCCATCCACCTGACCACCCATTTTGAGGCAGAAAAAACGCATTTTGGATTGAGGGGCATACATGGAGGCGACGGTGAAAATAGCAGCACACATGAACCATCAGATCATATATGAAGGATTTAAAGGAATTGGATGGCGGTCTGGCGCCAGTCCTCCGCTTACATGGCAGCTGAGTTGGCATTTTAAAATTTTTTGTTTAAAAAAAAAAAACGACAGGGTATTTTTATTTAATTCTTTTTCATTTTTGAAAAAAATTATTAAAAATGCCAACTAAGTAGGTAACGTGCTAAAATTGATAGTAACCTGCTATCCGGTGAAATTGCAGACATTTGGAGTGTTAAGTGGCCTAATTACACTTTTTTGGAGTGTTGACTTAATTGCATTTTTTTTTTTTTTGGTTCAGTGGCCTAATTGCATTTTCAAGTTACGTTCAGTGGTCAATTTGAACCTTATTGCTATGTTTCTTTGATTTACATGGAAGACTCATAACCTCTATCTAAATGCATGTTTTAGGTAAAGTTTGAGTTGTGATCTGACTTACTCGATAAAGGACCACAAAAAAGTAAACAAAATAAATAAAGTCAATAAGTAGTTCTCAATAAAAATCTAACTTAAAACCTTGTAATTATTAAGTTAATCATCCAAGTAATCTTACCAGCTTAGTTAGAGATTCTCTCCAATATAATATGTTTTTTATTCCTTTATACTTAATGTAATATCAAAAGTACAGAAGAAAAGTATAACTTCATTAAATATAAGATGCAATATCTTTCAAGACGTACAATAATTTTTAATTTTTAAAATATTTTTGCATTAATCATGTTTGAATTGCTAGTAATATAGTACAACATCGGATACTTATAAGTTGAAATCTCCGATATTTATAAATTAATTATTCCTTGATAATTAAATAGATACTACACATAATGACAGCTTGTATATACACATCAAGAAGCTAAGTCAGCTAGAAATTTCTTTTTTTTTTCTTTTTTTTTTCTGTCTTTCAATTTTCTTCTTCAGAGTAGAATAATTCCGCTACACGACAAAATAAGGAATCAACAAGATTGACTGCCGGAGGTGTTCCTCCTCCTCTTGGCCGGAAAAAGGTGGCGGAAGTCTCCGTTCTCCGCCACCTGCCACCCCTCCACCACCTCGCCGTCGAACTCCAGCTGGTTCACGCCGGAAGCATCGAACAAGCAGCCCTCAGACAGGCCGCCGTTCAAGCCCCGGCAGGGCGGCTTGTTCTTCCGGCGGCCGGCTCCGACGGGGACGTTGCGGAGGGCGCCGCCGGCCGTCCAGTAGCGCTGGCAGCCTTTGCAGAAGTGCCGGGGCTGGTTAACATTGTAGTTGTTGAAGTAACAAAACTTGGTTTCCGTGCTCTTGCATCTCGGACAGGGAATAATCTTTTCCGGCCGCTTCTGGTCTTCTCCGGCGGTCTGATCACCGCCGTCGGCGACGGCGGCCTTGCTCTTTGACTTAATATCTTCCTTGGGTTGTTTTGTCTGGACCGGTATTGTTGCTCCAAACAGCTTGATTCCTTGTGTGTTGTGGCTTTCTTCAACCTCAGCCATGAATTTCTAAAAGCTAAAGAGAGAAAGAAAGAGAGAGAGAGAGATTTTGTGTTTAGGATTGAAACAAGAATGTTTATGTTTGATGGGGAGGTTTCAAGGATGATATATATAGAGAGAGAGAGAGAGCTTGTATATATATATATATATATATATATAGAAAGATATGAGGCAGAAAAAGATAGATACAGATGGGTGGATCTGTAGAGGATGAGCATACAGGAAGCTAGGGAAAAAGTACAAGTGAGAAAAAGGAAATTTTGGAGAAAAAGGTTAAGTCAAGAAAGAGAAAGGTTCATTTTGTGACGATGGGGCCGGGGCAACCTTTCTTCAAAGATTTTATTATTTTTTTTAAATCTAATGGGAATTGAACCGGATTATTTTAAAATTTCTCCCCTACAAAGAGAGTTTATTTGTCACTTGAGCTACCCGTTGAATTTTTTAATGCAACTATATTATTATAGACTTTAAAATCCATAGAACCGTTAGATGACGTAAATCACGAGTGGTCCAGATAATACACGGTCAAATCCTAACATGTACACTACTGCACAGAAGGAGCTAGACCGGAGGTCAAATGGTTAACTATTTAAGCTAACCCGAGGGCAAGGTCATTTTATCACATAAAATTTTTTGATAAATACTACTATAAATAAATTAAAGAGTAACATTGACATATATAAAAAATAAAATAACATTTTTACTCCAACAATATAATTGAGTAAGTTAAGCATGATTCTTGTACTTGAATTTCGATTCATAATAACACCATCTTGGTCATAGCCAATTTTTTTTGTTTGAAACACAAAGAACCAATAACGCACCTCCACTAATGCTCGAACTCACAACCTTCCAAATGAAAATCCAACCCGGATACCATTAAACCACATAGTTCATATTCTTATATTCCACTCATCTCAAATCAACTGAAATTGCACTCGCAAAGTTTAACTCTTACTCATAAGAAAATTTAATCTATAATTTATAAATATATAAATTATATTTATTGACACAAATTAAATTTTAAATAATTAATTAGATCAATTTTTGTTGATAACGTTGGACAACAAATGTACAACATATAATGATATCAAATTTGAATACGATTGTTTCTTTAATATTAGATGTTTCTACCGATTAAGGCTCCTCCAACATAACTTGTTTCTTACGAAGATGATCTTGATGATACATGATTGAAAGGTTCAAACTTGTACATGTTTTCCGTGAAGTCATTGGCTTTATTGAATATTGGCTAACATAATTTGCATATGAATTTCCCCTTCACTCCTAACCTTCTTAACAAAAAATATAAAATAACTCTCAATCAAATTACTAAGATCATGTGACTAGACTTTGATACTGTTTGTTAGGATCAAACGCATACCACTATGCCAAAAGTCATAGTTAGTAGTAAATGTACAATTTTATTTTCTTATGTCTCATTTTCGAGAGACAGAGGCAAGGTGCTGGACTTGCCCCCTAGCTAGACATCTGCCCAACAATCCTCTAACTAGTTGGTATTGAACTTGGCCCTTCACCGGCCTCCGCCCAACAATTATAAGGCACGCTTCACCTAGAACGGACTCAACCCCTTGATTTGTGATAGTCAATCATATGCAATCTAGGTTGTTTTATTTCATTGTGGTCTTTTATTCCAGCTAGGGTCATAAAGTGCACTTCACCTAGTTTGAGTTAATCAAGTATATGCAATTTAAACTCGTTTATTTCTTTATAGTCCTTTATCAATTAAAAATACAAGACATGTTTCACTTAAAACCGACTCAATTAGTGACATTAAAAATGCCAACTAAGGTCCTCCGAGTTTGGTGGTTTCACCACCTTTAGTCCTAAACTTTTAAATCGATCACCGTGGTCCTCCGACTTTCAAATTCGACCTACCGTAGTCCTTCCGTCACCGTGAAAAAATAAGGGCAAAATAGTCTTTTTATTTTAACCCCAACCAAAACAATTCATTTCCCTCAAAAATTAAAATTAGCCATAATCTCCTCCCACCGAACTTCTTCTCCAATAATTTCCAATTACGCAAACACCGTTCTTTGGCGAGCCAAAACCGTAATTTCAATCCGAAGATTTCACAATTGTGAATTCGTTCCTGGAAAAGAAAGCTTTAAAGTTCAATAGTTTTTGAGAGAAATGATTTGTTTTGGGTAGGATTGAAATAAAAAGACTGTTTTGTCCTTATTTTTCACGACGCAGACGACAACAGTTAATGAAAAGACTACAACAGGTCGAATTCAAAACTCAAAAGCTAAAACCACAAATGATCAATTTAAAAGTTAAGACTAAAGGTAACAAAATCACCAAACTCAAAGGAACTTTGAGTGGGGTTTACTCATACGAAAATTATATTACAAACTTTAGTAAGAATGGTTAAACTCTTTTTAAAATGGATGAAAAGTAAAAGAGAGCCGCCAAGAGCAACGAGAAAGGTAGGGTCAGGGGAGTGTTTGGATCAAAAAGGTGATGCTTAGCTTTTTGTCCACATCATTACTCCAACTCATCATCTTGTTGTGTTCAAAGTCACACCCGGTGGGCCCCTTCACCAGGTAGGTTTGCTTTGTTTTTCTAAAAGTGGAACCACAAGTAAAGATTAAAAAGGGAGATAAAGGCATAAAGCAAAAGGCAACTGCAAAATTTCCTACTTTTATTTGATAACTTAGAATATCCCTATCTCTGTAATAATTTCTCACTTTAAAAAGTGAATCCTACTATCATATCAACTAATCTGTAATTTATTTACTCACATTATATTCTTGTAAATTCAATTAATTTTTAAAAGTGAATTTCAATATCACATCAAATTAAAACATTAGCTCAAAACTATTTTAAAAAATAAAAGTACTACACGACAGCCTTTGCTTCCAAATTGGCAGCCTTATCAAGTTTGCTAAAAGATTGCTAAAAGAGCAAACTTGCTATCCTATGTGACAAACTAAGCAGTAAAAAAGTAATTTTTTTTTTGCCCACCTCACCTAGCAAGTGAACCACTTGATGGGTTGAGGTCAACCTTAGTTTTTCTGCAAACTATATTCTAAAAATTTAATTTTGAGAGATATTAAAATATACATTTTTTACATACAAGGAGTTTAACACAAATTTAAATTATTAATTTTTGTGACAGGAATCAAACCATATCATATCACTAAAAGTAAGTCTTAAGTAAAACTTTTCATCCACGTACTAGACCAATGTCCATAAGACATGAATCTCTTTTTATTTTAGTTTATGCTCTTATGATTTTTACAAAAAATTGTCTCACATAAGATTAATGGTATAATTTTTACTAATTTTTTTTTATATTCATTAATCATTTATTACAAGAAAAATTACACATAGATCGAAATTGGATTAACATAATGCACAATAGCAATTAACTTATAGGTAAAAAGATTCTAATTACATTTTTAAGAGTTCGAGAGCTAATATGAAGCAGTTTCGTAGTTCGATGATGCAATTACATTTTTTTTAAATAGTTTAGGAACTTTTTGTCCATTCTTTCAAAAAAAAAAATTTGATGCTTTTTATTCAATCAAATTTCACTTTTAGTTATTGACAATTGTGGTATTATCACATTTAGTCATACTTTTTTAATTTTGCAGCATTACATCCTTGACTTTTAGTTGCTCTCCAAAATTAGTCCTCTGATCCTTTTAAAATTTTCTCATTCCATCATTTAATAAATATGGTTAACATGTAATTTTATCTTTCAACTAAAATAGTTCACAATAGAGGGAGAGAAATTACATGTTGAGACAAGATGTTTGAAATTTGAATGATAAAATTACATGTTAGTCATCTTTAAATGACAAAAAGTTAAACAAATGACAAATTGTTTGAGTTATTATTAATGCAAAAAATTTATATATTTAAAAATGATAATAAAAATGATATTAAACCATAAAAATGTTAAAATTTATTTTTAAAAAATGTTAGAAGATAAGTGAAAAAAGAAGAATTGATTTAGCTATTGAATAGTAGACACAAATTGAGATAGGGAGAGTAATATTTTTAAGAAAGAAATAGTTTTCAATATATGTATAGTAGATATTTAGATTAATCCCAATAAATACTTTTGAATAGAGTTTTTTTTTTTTTTTTTTTTTTTTTTTTTTTTTTTTTTAAAATAGAGTTAGTTAATACTACTATATTTTTATTTTTGTTTTTATTTTTAACTATTAATTTTGTTAAATTTAGTCTCTCAACTTTAATTTTTGAATTGAATCAGCCAAGTTTATTATTATTTTTTTTAAAAAAAAATGCTTTTCAGTTGTAGAAGAGTAAAATTTAGTGAAATTTCTAAAAGTAGGAATATATATGTTAATTTGGACATTTTCAACTGAATTTGGTCAATTCATAAAACTATTAAAATTGATAGTTGATGAGTAAAAGTTTTTTTTTTTTTTTTAAGTCTTTAAGCTTGATGATAATTATGTCCAAAGTTTTAAATTTAGATAATTTAATACCAAAGTTTTGTATCTTGTGACAATTAAATCTAATTAAAAAAATATAATTGTCACAAGATACAACAATTTGATTTTAAAATTCTAAATTTTAATGATTTAATAATTTAGATATGACTGTTATACATAATTCGATATTATTGTTACACGACACGAAAGTCTGGTATTAAGTTGAAAAAATTTTTAAAGGTTTGAATATAATTTTTACATGACATAAATGTTATGATTTCTTTTCCATCAATAAATGAATTAAAAATAACATTATTATCGAGATTAAAAATGATATTAATTTTTTTTTGGATGACGAGGGAATTGAAATCCGTACACGCTACTCGAGGTGTGCACTAGGTAAACTCCACTTCTGTGTAATAGTATGTAAACTAGACATGAGAAGTTAACACATTATTAGGATGATCATGTGTGACAGATTCGACTAAGAGCGTATTAGACAAGAATTGAACTCATGATATTTTGGTACGAAAATCATGTTTCACCCATTCGATTATATATATGAATGTATTTATGATTGTATTTAGTTGGAATACTTGTTAATTGATTACTAGTATTAGCAGTTATGGTTAGTTATTCTTATCAAGATTATATTATAAGTCAACAATTAACAAGTCGTGGTTGACTAATTAATATACTTGTTA